GTATGAATATAATATACAAGTTTCACTTTTTAAATGGAATTACTGAAATAAATCTACTTTTTCATGATATTCTAATTTTATGACCAGCACCTGTATATCCTGTGATGGAAGTAAACATTTGGCCATAGCTTGCAGTAGGCAGATTTATGAGAAGCAACAGTACTCTACAAAAAGTGGTTGTCCACTAAGGTCAGTTATGTTGAAGTGTTGTTACAGAGTTCTGGAGGGTACTGGCCCACTTTGTGTGTCGGACATCTTTAAAGCACCTTTTCTGTTTCTACCTCCATCAGGCGGCTCATTTCCGTGTCCACCATGAGGCAGAGAACGATCCAATCACTGGCCTCAAACAGAAGACTCTTTATGGGAAACCAAACTGGGACAACGAGTTCACCAACATCGCTTCGAAGCACCCAGGGTGAGGTTGTGTTCCAAATAAAATGCTAAGAGACCGGGAGAACAAAGAGGACACGTTTTCCTTCCTAACTTTGAGTTTTTATCTGCCTGCAGGAGCAAAGTGGGGGTGTTCCTGTGTGGACCCCCTCAGCTCGGTAAATCTCTGGAGAAACAGTGTTTGTCTCACTCCGAGGCCGACGTCAAGTTCATCTTCAACAAGGAAAACTTCTGAACATTTGCTCCGCAGCACAGATCTCGCCTTCACTTCAACCACCAACATCTGGCCAAGATCTTATTGAGAAAACAGAGAAACGTTTGCTGTTTTCCATGACTTCTCTCTTTGTCGTTTCAAAACTTCTTTTTTCCTTTAGTTTGTTGAGTTTTCTTAGAAATCTGTAGCAGAAGTGAACGTCAGATGGTTAAGAAATATGTGAGCTGCAAAAACAGCAAACATCCTCGCAAATAAAAAGAAAAAAGAAAAATTAGAGGACGATGCTGGAAGAAATTTAATATAAACTAAAGTTTTTAACACAATAAAAACTATTTAGTTTCCTAAAAAGCTGTTTATATTTAATTTTAAGGAACTTTTGAACTGCATCATTATTCGCTTTTCTTACTAGTAAAGTTAACAGACGTGTGATTTTAAGAAACTAAAGAAAAAGTTCTGTTTCATTAAATCTTCCTGTTTTCTTATCAACACAATGATTTTCTACGAACAAAGGCAGATTCAATCAATAAAAAGTGCCTATGAAGGACGCTGCAGCATAAATCATGTTTTTCTCTCTTTTTACTGTCGACTGCATCTCTGAATCAAACGAAAACAAAAATGTTTCAAACAAGAATTCGTAAAGAAGTTTGTTTTTTCATATAACTCAGTCACTGTTGTCTGTGTTAAATAAATATACATGTGGTTAACATTATTGAACAAATAAATAAATATAAAATTTGCATTGTGTCAAATGTTTTGTACACTGCAGATTATTTCCATTTTTACCTTTTTTAGTATTTCAGGAGAACTTTTACAGATCTACAGCTGCTAATGTTTCACTGTTTGGGTGGAGCTGGTCATAGAGTTTGTTTGGTTTAAATACACTTCTTTTTTTTTTTAAAAGTAATTTTATAACGAACGTTGTATGGGTTTTGGTATGTTGGGTTTTATGAAGTAAACCTTTTGTTCAGGAAAGTTTTAGGACATGTTTCCTCATGAAATGTTCCTGCAGCAGGGAGATGATTTGATGCAGAAAAGCTGATTTGTTCTTGTTGGTGTCTCATGATGTCCTCACAGGGTGAAATTCAAGCATCGGGTTTATCTGTATGATCTGAGGCGCTTCAGTATAAAAATATTTCTGATGCTTCAGAGGGAAATATTTTTACAGCAGAATGATTCAAATCAACTAGCAGCTCATAAAAATAACAGTTTAATCACAGAATAATGCAAACGGTTACATCTAGAAGAATTTTAAGCTCCATGCATTTTAACTACTTCTGCATACTTTGTGCTCTTTAAGTCGTCCATGTTAAAGCATTCAACTCATCCAGGAAATGACAGAGATGTTTGGACTTTTGCTTTTTGTAACTTTTATCCATCCACCCATCTGTTTCTTTATCCATTCTTCCTTTCTGGGTTGTGAGGAGCTGGTGTGTCTTCAGTTCTATAAAACTATTTCCCCACAGAGAAACTCTGCTTGGTTCTCTTTGAAATCTGCTTCAACAAACTGGTTCTGTTAAGTTCTTCTTGTGCTACTTTTAGCTTTCAGCTACTGTTCTGACCTTTTTAGCTTCAACAACTAAGTCATTCTGCTTTCAGCAGTTCAACAGAAAATGTACTTTGAATAGTTGTGAGATCGAGGAGCCTTTTAATGTTTAATGATAGGGCATTTAATAAAACAGTAAAATGAGCCTCAGTTTCTTGGATTATAAAAATCTTGTGCTCAAACTAAAATGCAAGAGTTTAGTGCTTTAACCAACTAAATGACTTTTTTTTCTGGGCAACATTTCTGTCAAATAAATGGTTGACAGAAATGTTCTTTAGAGACTTGTTTTTAAACAGAAATATTTAAAAATACAAAGCACATTTAAGTGTTTTTTTTACTTTTTAAATTTTAATCTTATTTTACTCTGCAGTACAAACCATAAGATGGAACTTCAATGAGTTGCTGACACTTGAGTAAAAACAGCTTTTTGGGATAAAATCTATAAATAACTGTTGAAATGTGTCACTGATTTGTGTTATTTTTGTGAAATCTTTAATATGAGACTGATGTTAACTGATCAAATCAAAGCAGCTAAAAGGCTCAATTAAAATAAATAAAAACAGAATGAAAGTTTAATTCAGGAATGTGTTTATTTTCCTGCATCTCTGATACAAAACATTTGTCGGACACGATACAAACACATTGAATTCATCCGAATAATCAGACCTGAAGCTGAACTCACATGAAAACATGAATATTAAATAATGAAGCTCTGCAGAACAGCAGCCTGTGGCACTCTGTCACCCCCTGCTGCTCATACAAGACACTGACACGCCTGCTCCCAGTGTGTGTGTGTGTGTGTGTGTGTGTGTGTGTGTGTGTGTGTGTGTGTGTGTGTGT